TCAGTATCTTTATCAAAAAATGACACAAACTTTATAAATTTCAACATAATACGTATAAATTATAACTGTATTTTAATCTTAAAATTATTTACACCGTGCCTTTAGGTACGGGCATACGCTAGTATATATATATATTAGAGAAAGGAAGAGAGAATATACCATAGGGGTATTTTGGTAATTTTGCCTTCATTTTTAACTAACTTTGCAGTTTACTCCAAAATCATAAAGGGTTTCTTTGTTTGTATTTGAAAGTATTTTGAAACAAAATGTTAATTTTGTCCATCAAAAAAATAAAGAATCCAAACAAGTTAGGTTTTTTTTTTTTTTTTTTTTTACAATACACCAAATGGATTAGAAAAGTAATTTTTGTAATACATTTTTTAAAAAAAAAACATTGGATAAAAATATTAAAAATGGCTGGTAGCTCGAAATACAACGGCCCGAATGGCTCAAATACCCAAAACGACGTCGTTTTGGGTTTTTTTTTTTTCTCCCTCTGTTCTCTCTCTGAAACAAACAGAAGGAGAAAATGAGAGAATGAGAAAGAACAAGAGAGCAGAAGACAAGTCCGTGTATATACACAGAGGAAAGTCGCGTTCGGACCAAGCTCCATCAATGGCGACACAGATTAGTTTGACGTTGAGCTTTAAGCTATTGTGTTACATTTTAGTGTATATATTTATTTGCTATTTTTTTTTCCCTCTGTTTATTGGATGAAATTTGGTTCGATTCTCATGGACAAAATGTGTATTTGTATAGATTTTATGTTACGCAACTCTGATTCAAGTTGAATGTAAAGTTTTGTGTTGATTTTTGTGTCTGCATGTTGTGATTTGAGCTCCATTTTTTCTTCGTAATGTTTTGGTCATTTTTATTTTTAAGTTTTTGTTGGATTGTTGAGTTTGGAGAAGAGGATACAAATCTTGAAGGAGGTGATGCAAATGAGGAGATGAACAGAGGGAGTAAGACAAACAGAGGAAGTGAAGGAGATGATGCAAATGAGGAAAGGGATGACCGGTGTACAAAGAAAAGGGTAGGTGTACAAAGCAATTCGGGCCTTTCGACCCACGCCATTTTGAGCTACGAAATGGAGTTGTAAAATATATATATATATATATATATTTTATTGCCAAACCAAGATCAGTTTGGTTTGGTAGATGATCAAAGCAAGTGCTGGAATTCTCCGAATATAATTTTTTATTGCCAAACATTCTACGAATCTAGATGGGTTGAATTTTTGGTTCAAAAAAGATGGGTTGAATTTTGGAACTTACCTGTAATCCAAATGCAATTTTGGTAGATTATTTGGGTCATAGCATAACTCATACCTATTTTGTGTTGTTTATTGTAGGAGGTTCCCTTCTGTCCAAGATCTAGATTTGAGGGGGATATTTGGGTTCGTGGGGTTCACCACAAGACATGTTTTGATAATTCGAATCAATCGTTTTATCGGGTCTTTCATTTACTTCATCCAAAAGAAAATTAATTCGATCCGATAACTGTAACTTGTTTAATTTATTATTTTTGTTATAAAAAAAATATATGTTTCGCTTTTAAAAACAAGATTATTGTACTTTTTTAGTAAAAAAATACAATAAATTGAACCAGTTACAGTTATTGGATCGACTTAATTTATTTTTTTTGTAAATGAAATACACGAAGTGTCCAAAAAAAAAAGAAAATTCAGATTAGCAAAACGGATCCTGTAGTGAACCCAACAGGTCTAAACAGTCCCTTCCAATTCAGATTTTAGATTGAAGAGGATCCTCTTTGTTAAATATAATGTACAAATAAAGAGAGAGAATTGTATTGTGTATTTAATGGATATTACGTATATTTACAATGTGAAGATGACTCTCCTTTTATAGAGGGGAGAGTGTACAAAGGAGCCAAGAGAGCCGAAAGAAGAAAACAGAAAGTGTGCACTAAGGAAGCACTAAGAAAACAACATGATTAAAGCTTGGTAATTTACAGCTAACATATTATGCACTAACATATAATACATATAATATACTAACAGCCCCCCTCAAACTCAAGGAAGAGAGGTACCAGCCAACTTGAGTTTGGAGAGAGTAACAAAACAGGAAAATAAAATAAAATAAAGTAGGATAGGAGACACTGTATGGTCGTGTCGAACCGTTGGTGAAGACACTGTATGGTCGTGTCAAACCGTTGTAGGAGCTAACCGGAATCAATGTCGGGACAGCTTACGGGGTCATACCAGACCGATGTAGAAGCTAACCGGAATCAATGTCGGGACAGTTTACGGGGTCATGCCGGACCGATGTAGAAGCTAACCGGAATCAATGTCGGAACAGTTTATGGGGTCATGCCAGACCGATGTAAAAAATACACTATATGATTGTGAATATAGGCTGCCCAAAAGATATACATGTATATATATCGAGCCCTCAAAAGTTGCGCCCTCAAAAGACGCTCCCACTTCATCAAAAGTTGTGCCCGATAGAAATCGTCGAGCGACGAGCCATCAAAGGTCGCGCTGGAGACGCGGCGATGCACGTGATCGACGGAGCGTTGTGTCGTCCTCTCCGTCATTGTCTATATAAACCAAGGCAGAGGCTGTGCAAACCAAACTAGTTTGAAACCTCTGAACATCTTCATTCTGAAACACTCTGCAACCAACCCTTTCTGACATTATCAGTCTGAAATCGCTGCCTCTTCTTCCCGTTCAGCAACCCAGAACATGGCCTCTTCTTCCCATGGTCTATTCACTCTCTTTCCAGACCTCAACGAGTCCACAAGAGAGATAACCGGTGCGGTTGCCCTTGTACCTCAACCAAACGCCCCTGATTTTGCTCCGTTGAACTTTCCTATGCGGTCCATGGAGCAAATAATGGCAGCGCAACCGGATATTGAGGCCAATCAGTATACATTAAAGTCATGTGTGGAAACCACGACTGCGGTCTCAAACTTGTTGCACCGTCTTCAGAGTAGGACAAATGAGGTGCAGCAGTTAAACGCCCAACTGACTCTGCTCCAGCGCATGTATAAGGATGCGCGAGCAGAGATATGTGTGTTAAAGGCGGAAAACAAGGAGCTGAAGCGGAAGGCCACCGTTATGTTCCGATTCGGAGGTCCGCCATATGTTGCAATGGAGGAGCAGGGGGGAGTGAACGTGCTTGGTGGATTAGGAAGTACTGAGACCAGGCTGTCACGGGACACCCAATATAAAAGTAAGAAGAAGAGAACAGCGGAAGAGGCGAAAAAGTAAGGCCGGTTTTTGGGGGGGTTGTGGGTTGTGGTTGGAGATTGTTTTGGTTTGTATTTTTTTTTTATATTTTTTTTATTTTTATTTTTTTTTTATTATTATTGTTTTTTTTTATGTGTGTGTGTGTGTGATGTATTGGTAATGCTCTGGTATTGCAATGGAAATGTAGGACTTGAATTTGGTAGTTTGTGAATAATAGTCTATGATGGTATGCTGGCACTTTGAGTATTGGATACTGTTGTGCTTGTGATAAAAGAAAATAAAATAGGATAAAATACAAGAGGATGAAACGGTGGGTATGGTGATATGGGGGAGAGACACGCGCTGGACACACGCACAGAATACACAGAACACAAGAAAGATAAGATAAGATAAATAAAGGTATTTTATTTTGTGGTGAGGGAGTCGGTGAGTGGGGTGCAAAAGGTGAAGGAAGATAGGTTGGAAAGTTGACAAAGGGGTGGGTGTCCTTGAGTAGAGAGAAAGAGAGAGTGAAAAGTGTGTTTTCAAAGTGGGAGGAGCTTGAGCCGGCGCTGCTTGAGGCCGAGATAATTGCGGCAGAACTTCGCTGGAGTGAGATCGAAGAACTTGGTGACACTGTGTACGGCGGAGGGATTGAGAATCTGAGTGCAGAGCCAGCCGGTGGCCATGTCGAGGTCGCTCTGCATGAGGAGCTTCCCAACAGAGTGGGATGGATCGGAGCATTTCGAACCATGGTGAAACCATGGCGGTGCTCAGGTTTACTGAAGGGAATCTTAGAGGGTCATAAGGATGTGTCCATGACTTCGGTGATTGAGTTGGAGGATGGAAGCTTGACCAAGGGAGCTTATGTTCCACCAAGCCTGAGAACATGAGCAGAAAGACCTACTGGTGGGGGGTCTGACATGAGGCGCAGAAATGCACTTGAGTCCATTTTCTTGCTCTTTCTCACCCTTTCTACAGTTTAATCATGGGTATGCAATTGCACAGCAGCAGCAGCAACCCATCAAAACCAGTGTTGTGTTAGTTTTGAAGAACAGATTTTTTGATCACATGATTGGGTGGATGAAGAACATTCATGTTAAAACAAATACGACAGAGCGGGAGGTCGTCCCTGCTGCTGTGGCTGCATTGGTAGATGAGAAGGGTTCATATTGGAGAAAACAACTCAAACAGCCAACAACTCAAATAGCCAACACAAATGTTTGATTTGGCTTGATAAACAAGCCCCAAAATCAATGTAATATGCTTCATTTGGAACAACAACTTCGACGACAGATCAGCAGATTAAAGAGCTTGCAGTAACAAAGCAGACAAAAGTTCATCTGGGTGTTAAGAGATGCCGATAAAGAGATTTCGCAGGCGATGTCAAGAGAGCTAAAGCACCATCGACATGCTGGTTCATGAGTCACTATAGATGGAATTCATGCCTAGAGAGCATCACCCCGGGAGTGCCGATAGCGGCCTGGCCGATGCACTCGGATCAACCCAAGAATGCATTTCTAGTAACAGAGATATTGAAGGCTGGTTTGTTTGCTAAGTATTGGGTGGCAAACTAGAAAGAGGTAGTGGCTTCATCAGCCATTGCAAGGGTGAGCCGCTTACGCAGACATCGGCTTGGAGAGCCGCGTAAAGGTTGGCTAAAGTGGCTATAATGAGGAAATCATTGAATAGAGTGAGCGACTTGCACGGCTTCGAAAATGCGAGATTCCGATGGGTCGGCCCTTTCTGCAGTGAAGACAGAGAGAGAGGCCTTGGTCTTAGCCCATAGGTGTTGGTGGAGGTGACCAAGATGGATGATGGTGATGATGCTCTGATCTTGAAGGTGAATGTTGAATTGGGTTTAGTGGCAGCGAAGTCAAGGTATGTGTAGAGGTCTGGCGGGCGGCCAAGACGAGGATGTCGCCCGCTGATGAAGGAAAATTATTAGATTTTTAACCTCGCTCTGATACCATGTTAAATATAATGTACAAATAAAGAGAGAGAATTGTATTGCGTATTTAATGGATATTAAGTATATTTACAATGTGAAGATGACTCTCCTTTTATAGAGGGGAGAGTGTACAAAGGAGCCAAGAGAGCCGAAAGAAGAAAGCAGAAAGTGTGCATTAAGGAAGCACTAAGAAAACAACATGATTAAAGCTTGGTAATTTACAGCTAACATATTATGCACTAACATATAATACATATAATATACTAACACTCTTCATTTTATTTTCATTATGTATTATTTATTTTAGTGATTATTGGCAGGCTTGCGTTGTTCTTTTTTTAATTATTTTTGTTATGCACTGTTTCTTGTGGCGGTTGTAAAGTTGTCGTTTGGCAATATTTTTTTTTTCTTTACTTTTTAATTTTTTGACTATTTTAATTTTGGTTAAAAGTTTATTTAAATTGATTTTTTTTAATTTTTTTAACTTTTATAAGAGAAAAAATGAAATGATTATAATCTAGATGTGTCATTTTAATTTATTATTTTATGACTAATTTAACCCAAAAAAAATTATTGTGAAACGAAGCCTAAGCTTGTCTCCATTGTGTTGAGTCTTGGTAGACTCATCTCAATTTGGTGTTTGAAATAATTCATTTTGTAGAGGCAACTGAACATATCATCAATCATTATGATTTGACCATGTAGTTGTTGGTATTTATTCAATTTAATTTTTTATTTGAATAATATATTTGATCAGTTTTATAAAATAAATAATTTAAATCATTATAATTGATTTAAATGATATGAAAGTGTGGGGATGTCTTTTCTGAATACCAACGCGTGGCAAGGTGACGCCGACGTGTCAGCCGAGGTGCCATGTGTTTTGGTTGTGACGCCGAGGTTATCTCGGAAAGCTGAGGTTATCTCTGAAGATATCGGAATCCGAGATAAACGGATAGGGGGCAAGAGTCCTAGAGTAAAAGGGAACTTTGCTAAGATGAGGATAAAGCTCTTAGGAAGTTTATCATTTTCTCTTATGAAATCCAAAGTAAGCACTAAATGGGAGTCCATAGAAATCAGGCTTCTAGTGGGATTAGGATTGAGTTGGCTATAAAAGAGAGGCACCCCCGTGGCTCTAAGGTACGTAATTTTATGCTTTGAGTAGTGAGTTTAGCACTTGATTATCTTTGAGAGATATACTGACTTGATCGTCAGAGTGCCCCCGGGTGGAAAGCCACCGCCGAAACCTTTTCTTTTTGTTGCAGGTTAGCTGAAACCATCTATTCTGCTGGTGCTCTCCAGCTGATTACTAGGCGAGCAGTGTGGTTAGAAAATCACCCACACAATTTGGCGCCGTTTGTGGGAAACTTAGAAGAATAGATGGCCAGTAACGGACAGAAGGAAAACATTGGGGGCGACACTCCCGCTGGGAGTGGCAGACCAATTGACCTTGACATTGAAGGAGACAACCATAAGGTAGAAACTCATGACCAGGGCCACAGAGAGAAAGACGTCGGCCAGGAGGGCGACACTTCGAAGAGGACAGACCAAGGCAAGTACTATCACGAAGACAACCTTCAGGTATGGAGGGATAGGTGCCTACGGAGGGATGAGGAAGTAAAAGAATTAGCGAACAAGTTGGCAGACCTACAGTTGGTCGTCAACTTCATGATGCAAAACAATGTCATGCAGCCACCATACCCGCTACAGGATACGCCGATACCATCAACTAATACCCAGAAGGGAGGAGGAAGAACAATTCCCGAAGTCCCTCAGCACGCTAGGAGCAGAAGGCACTCTCACTGACCTTCCAGGGAAGTCGGACGAAAGGAGCCGAGACGAGAGGAGTCCTGATGAACATATCACACGAAGGACCCAGAGCCCAAAGAACATCGGCATGTTCAAGGGCAGGCGCTCTGCTTTGACACAACACATGGAGAGAGATCAAAACGAGCCCACCACGAGGTTGAAAGTAGTGTGCTGAAAAGATTAAAGTCCAAAGATAGCCGAGCTCTAGGGAGGAGTAAAGAAGACTTGAGAGATTATCTCAAGAGGAAACAACAGAATGCTGAAGTCGAGGTAACATCCCCGGTTAAGCCGAAGACACCATTCTCGGTAGAACTGGACAAATTTGAAGTACCAAAGTGATTCAGTATGCCGAGGTTCCAAATATATGATGGTAAGTCAGATCCCAACTTTCACGTTGGACTATACCTGAATTCAATGGCGTTATATAGTGGGAACGAGCCGTTGCTCTGCAAAGTATTCCCCTCATCCTTCAGGGAAATTGCATCAGATTGGTTCCATAAACTACCGAAGGGAAGCGTAAAAACTTGGGAAGGCCTGGCCGAGATGTTTGTGGCCAGGTTTGTGATAAATAAACTACAGCCCTTGAGAGTCGACGCACTGATGGCTTTAAAAATTGCTAAGGATGAAGGCCTTAGGGCCTACGCAAAAAGGTACTATAAGGTTTTCAATCGAATACCTGATTGTAACCAAGAGATGGCAGTCGTGTCCTTCAAGAACGGCCTAAAAGATGACTGCCCACTACGAAAATCCTTGGCAAAGACATTGCCAAAAAGCATGGAAAAACTCATGGCGAGAATCGAAAAGTACACCAAAGCCGAGGAGGATACGTCGGGAAATAAAGAAACAAAGAAGGAAAAAGGAAACGGCTCGCCGAAGCGAAGCCGAGGCGACAACGGACCGACTAAACAAAAAACGGAATTGAAGGCTAAATAGGCAGTAACGACTATATTCCGAGTCCCGATCCACAAAGTCGTAGATCAAATACGAAACCAACCCTATTTTAGAGGACCGACAAGAACACCAGGGGAATTCATAGGAAGAAACGTCGGTAGGCGTTGTGCTTACCACAATGAAGAAAGGCACCCAACTCAGGGCTGCAGAGCCCTAAAAGCACACTTAGAAGACTTGGTAAGGCAAGGACATCTGAGGGACCTTGTTGATGAGGCCAGGACTAGAGAAGAACAGGCAAGATTGCCTCAAGCACCAGCAGCTCCGCTTCCCCCAGCACAGCAACCACCCGCAGGAGGACCACGGGTGGTTAACGTAATTCACTCAAAGGTGGACGAAAACGACATACCAGGGGAAACCCAGAAGGTAAAACACCTATAGCACGTGAACCAGTGTGGTCATAAAAGACCTCGACCTGAAGAATGCCAGGGACCGACGATAGCCTTCACTGAAGCCGACCTAGAGATGGTCCAGCATCCACATAATGATGCCTTGGTAGTATCCCTCCAGGTTGGGGAGTGCCAAGTAAAACGCATCCTGATTGATCAAGGCAGCTCTTGCGACATCATGTATGTTAAATATTACAAAGAGCTGGGCCTTTATCCTGATGACTTGGAGCAATCCAATGGCCCGATGGTCGACTTCAATGGAACGCCGACGTGGCCGCTGGGCGCAACAAGCTTGGAAGTACAAGCTGGCACTAAGAAGATCAGAACAGAATTCATGGTGATTGACACACCTTCGCCATACAACATCATCTTGGGAAGGCCATGGTTGCATGCAATGGGGGCAGTTCCCTCAACATTGCATTAACTACTGCGGTTCCCAACAGAGCATGGGATTGAAAAAGTCAGAGGAGATCAACTGCAGGCAAAGAATTGCTCCATGGCAGCAATGAAATCCACCTGCAATATTCGAGAACCAGAAAAGACAGAAATTGAAGATGAGGACGTGGAAGTCCTAGAAGACGTCGACAAAGAACCAGCCGAGAAAAGCGAAAAGACATTGAAGAAAATCTTCGTCGAGGATGGGGATGAATAACGCTTCTTTCTTCTCGGCTCAGGCTTAACCGAAGAAGAAGAAGAAGAGTTGGAGACTTTTCTAAGAGCCAACATTGAGGTGTTCGCTTGGACACCTTACGAAATGCCTGGCATCGACCCCGAGGTCACTTGCTACAGACTGAATGTCGACAAGTCGGCAAAACCTGTGATTCAACGAGCCAGAAGACCAATGTTAATGCACATCGAAGCAGTAGAAGAAGAAGTGGACAGACTTCTGGAGGCCAGGGCCATCCAAGAAGTTCATTACCCGACATGGCTATCCAACACAGTAGTGGTAAAGAAGAAGAACGGTAAATGGAGGGTCTGTGTAGATTTTACAAGCCTGAACAAAGCTTGTCCCAAAGACAGCTTTCCTCTACCTAAGATTGACCAGTTGGTAGACGCCACATCTAGACATGGAAGGACGAGCTTCCTGGACGCTTACAGAGGATACCACCAGATAGCCATGTACCCCCCAGACGAGGAGAAGACAGCGTTTATTACCCCAAAAGGGTTGTATTGTTACAAGGTAATGCCTTTTTGGGTTGAAAAACGCAGGAGCAACTTACCAAAGGTTGGTAACCATGATGTTCAAAAACCTGATTGGCCAAACAGTAGAAGTCTACATCGACGACATGGTCGTGAAGACCAAGGAACCAAAGGGCCATCTTGCCGACCTAAAAAAGGTCTTTGATATACTCAAAACATACCGGCTCCGACTCAACGCATCGAAGTGCGCGTTTGGAGTTGGATCAGGTAAATTTTTGGGGTACCTAGTAACAAGAAAGGGCATTGAGGCCAGCCCAGATCAAATCAAGGCCATCCTAGAGCTGAAAAGCCCGACGTCGGCAAAACAGGTTCAGATGCTTACTGGAAGGGGCGCAGCCCTAAATACGTTCATAAGCCGAAGCTCAGACAAATGTAAACCTTTCTTCAACTTGGTGAAGAAGGCTACAGACTTCCTATGGACTGAGGAATATGAGGCCGCCTTGGCCGACCTAAAGAAATATCTGACCACGGCTCCAGTCCTCTCAACACCTGAACCTGGGGAAGAACTATTTTTGTACTTAGTAGTTTCAGAACACGCGATAAGTGCCATGCTAATCCGAGAGGAAAAAGGGGAGCAAAAGGTTGTTTATTATGTAAGCAAAACCTTGGCCGACGTAGAAACAAGGTACCTACCACTAGAGAAACTAATGTTGGCCTTAGTAATGGCTTCAAAGAAGCTAAACCATTACTTTCAAGCGCACAAGATTATAGTGTTAACAGGGCACCCACTAAAGTCCTTGCTACAACAAGGAGACTTAACTGGAAGAATAGCAAGATGGACAGTGGTCTTGGGCCAGTACGACCTGGAGTTCAGACCAAGAACAGCAATTAAGGGCCAAGTTTTGGCCGACTTCATGGCCGAATTCACACCAAAATCCATCAAACATCAGGCTCCGTTGAGCCAAGATGAACAAGGTCTAAGCAAACAAGGAAAAGCCCAGCCAAACGCAAAAGAACAAGAAAAGGAAAAACTCAGACCCTGCAGCATTTACATCGGCGACTACTTTTGCCTATTTGTCGATGGAAGTTCAAACCGGCAAGGAGCAGGGGCAAGAGTAGTGTTAATATCTCCTGATGGGGAGATATTGGAACAGTCTATTCGATTGGGGTTCAAGGCCTCAAACAATAAGGCAGAATACGAAGCACTGATTGCAGGACTAAAGCTAGCAGTAGTAGCAGAAGCAGATGAGGTAATAATTTTTTGTGATTCACAACTTATAGTAAATCAAACAACAGGAGAGTTTGCAACCCGAGATAAGAGAATGTCGGCATACGCAAAGGAAGTCATCAGGCTGGCAGCCTTGTTTCGCAACTGCCGACTTCTTTAAGTCAACCGAGATGATAACAACCACGCCGATGCGTTGGCCAACTTGGCAAGCTCAATGCAAACTGGAAAAACAAGAACAATAATGATTGACTATCTGTCAAGCCCGAGCATAGAACAGCCGATCACAGAGCAAGAAGCAATGTGTGTGGACTTGGGACCAAGCTGGATGGATGCAATTGTTGCATTCCTGAAAGAGGAAAAGCTGCCAGAAGACCATAAGGAGGCACACAAGGTTAGATTAAAGTCAGCAAGATTCAGTCTGACAACGGACGGACATCTCTACAGAAGGTCCTTCACTGGACCCCTTTTAAGGTGCATACACCCTTTGCAGGTGGAAGATTTTCTATACGAAATTCATGAAGGGATTTGTGAAAGCCACGCTGGGGGCAGATCACTAGCTCACAGGGCCATTACCCAGGGGTATTGGTGACCCTACATGCAAAAAGATGCAGAAGCCTACGTGAAGAAGTGTGAACAATGCCAAAGGTTCGCACCTTTGATACACCAGTCAGCTGCTGACCTGAGCCCTGTATCCAGTCCATGGCCATTTGCCCAATGGGGCATGGATCTCATTGGGCAGTTACCCCAAGCAACTGGGCAAATGAAGTACTTACGGGTAGCAACAGATTACTTCACGAAGTGAATAGAAGTGGAACCTCTTGCCAAAATCCGAGATGTGGACGTCAAAAATTTCATATGGAGAAACATCATCACCAGATTTGGTATTCCAAGAGCAATAGTTGCCGACAACGGAACGCAGTTTGATAGCAAACTTATCAAGAACTTCTGTGCGAAATTCAAGATAAAGAAGTACTTTTCAACACCAAGTTTTCCCCAAAGCAATGGGCAAGCCGAAGCATCCAACAAAGTAATTCTGGACGGAATAAAGAAGAGACTGCAGGCAGCAAAAGGAAAATGGGTAGACGAGTTGCCCAATGTACTTTGGGCATATCGAACTACGCCGAGAAGATCAACAGGGAAAACCCCCTTTGCCATGGCCTACGGCACAGAAACAGTCATCCCACTGGAGGTCGGCATCCCAGGAATCAAAACCCAGGGAGTAGAGAATGGAACTAATGACATACTTCTAGCCCGAGATCTGGATCTCTTAGAAGAAAGAAGGGAAAAAGCTGCAATTCAGCTCGCAGCGTACCAGCAGCAACTTGCTAGAGCTTACAATAAGAAGATCAATCCAAGGGATTTTCAGGTCAGCGACCTAGTTCTAAGAAAAGTTGTTGGCAACAAAAAGGATCCCAGAGAGGGCAAGCTTGGCCCAAACTAGGAAGGGCCCTACAGAATCACTTCGGTATTGGGCAATGGGGCATACAAACTTGAAGATAATGAGGGCAAAGCATTGCCAAGACCCTGGAACACTTGTAATTTGAAATTTTTCTATCATTAAATGTTCCTTGTTATTCCTTACCAACATCATCAATAAAATTTTAGCAGAGTTTTCCAAAGACTTGTAAATTGATAAAAGATGCATAATGATTGTTTTTGAAATAATGAGAACCCAAGTGGAACTCAGGTTCACATTGGGGGCAGAGAGAAGACAGTAATGCTTAACACTTGTTGAAATTTGTAGCAATTTACAAGTTGAAGTTAAGCCGAGATAATTGTTTATCTTCACTTGTTGAAATTTGTAATAATTTACAAGTTAAAGTTAAACCGAGATAATTGTTTATCTTCACTGGTTGAAATTTGTAGCAATTTATAAGTTGAAGATAAATCAAAGACAAGAAACTTGCCGAGGTATATCATCGGTAGGCATAATCGAGGTGTGTCACCCCGAGAAAGTTACACAAAGGAGGAAGAGTGTACATGTGTAGAATATACTAAGTATAGAATCATGCAAAGACAAAAAAGAAAAGACAGGAGTACAAGCACTTGGAAAAGAAAAGATATATTCATTCACCAAAGGGCACATCGGCCACACAAAAAGCATACATTGTTCCAAAAGATAAAGAAGCAACAAAATACAAGTAAGTAAAAGAAGAACATAAAACTAAGGCTCCTCTCCTCCAGATTGTTGAAATTAAAGATCAAATACCACCTCGGCCTCCTTCTCTGCCGCTATCTCGGCGTCAATTTCCTGGAGAGTTTCTTCAACAGTCTTGACCTCAGAAGGGATGTCGGCTGGTGCGATGTCGAGAACAGCTTCTTGGACAACCTCATCGCCTTTTTTATCATGAGTCAAGTCTAGGACTTGCTTACTCTGAAGAGGGGACTTGGTCCCATCAACATCTTTTGATTTTCTAATCAAAGCCTCGTCCTCTTCCTCCTCGGCCTCATCCTCGGCATCAGATTCGCCGACATCTTCACTCAGAGTTGGGGCTGGAGGAAATGGCAAAGGAATGACGTCGACCTTCCGCAATGGAGAATCATCAGGAACATTAAGCTTTTTAAAAAGGGACATCCAACCAAGGGTGAAACCCTTGTTGCATGCCTCCTTCACTTGTTTTTCGTAGGCCTCAGTAACGTCGGCCATACCCTGTGAGTACGCCTTTTCGTCAACGTCTTTGATTTCAGCTTCTTTGGTGGCCAGGGCCTCTTGAAGCTCTTTTTCAACTTGGGCCATTTTTTCCTTGGCCTCTCTCCTTTGCGATTCGGCCACCTTCCTAATGGCCTCAGCAGCCTCAGTCTTTTCTTTGGCTTCGGTCTGAGCCTTGATAGCTTTCTCAGCTTAGTCTTCCAGTTTCTTCATTTTTGACTGGAGGCCTTTGTTGGTCTTTTGGAGGCTGGAGACCTCCCTCTTTATCTCGGCAAGCCTCTCGCTATTCTCAAAAGACTGCATTGAGAAAGAGTGGGCATGTTGGATGGCCTGAAAGAAAACAAAGGTATTAAAGAATATTCAAAGTGTGAAATAAACCAAATAGAAAACATTTACCTGAACGGAGTATTGAAGCATTAGAGCATAGTTCTCATACTCACTATACTGGGCGTTTCGCTCTAGGTCACCTGGAAGAAGCAGGGCGGTATTGAGTGCGACGCCGACGTTTATATCATCAGCACTATCACTTGCCATGACAGGCTTGTCTTCCAAAGTAATTGTGGGGGCCCAGGGGGCATCGGGCTTTTTTGATCCCGAAGTTGTGGTGGAGGAAGACCTCGGCTTTTTTGGTTGTTGGGATTCTGATGGTTGAGATTCAGAGCGCCTCTTCCCAGGAGAAAGTTGAGATTTATCACTCTCAGCCAACTTTGAGATAGACAGAGTGTCTTCAAACTCAACCTGAGCTACCTTGGCCTTTGGTTGAGCCTTTTTTATTCTTTTTGGTTTTGCTGGAGGTTGGGTTTGTGTTGGTTGTTCGTCAATGGATGATGGAATGTTGGCTAAGAGGTATTTAGCTACTGGCTTTGCGCGACCCATCTCGGCTGTAAGAACAAGACGTCGGCGACATTTTCTTTGGGATGGTGGAATAAGGTATGGAGCCGAGGTCGACAGTTGTTCTGCTGGATCAAAGGTTGATCCTTGGTCTGTTCGCGATGTTGATGTAGCTGGAAGAGTTGTAGCAGAGGGAGGAGATAAGCTCTTCTTCTTCTTTTTCCTGGGGACGTCGGGGAGAGCTGATTTGTATGTTGGGATAAAGTTGAGAAGCAGGGGTGCCTTTCGCTTCTGAACTGGCAGGTCCAGTAATTTCTTTAAATCCTTGCTGGGAACAAAGGATTGGCGAAAGTTTTTTGGCAGCTGAGGAAGAACTGCAAAACCAAAGACAAAGCAGACATTAGGAAACAGATAAAGTATACAAGACTTTAAAAGTAAAACAAGTATGAATGCAGGGCTCTTACCATTACCCTCTATAAAGATTGATCGTGGGAGAGAGAAAAGATGGAGGTCTTTATCTGGGGCGAACTCCCAGTTCCCCGAGGTAATGAAATAATCGTCACCAGCTCCCTTGTTGGAGTCTGGGAGGTCGGCTACAATTTTGAATTCTGTGGACCTCGGCTTCAGGTAATAAATGTAGCTTTTTTCTTTCAAGTTAAGGCCACACATGGTATAGCAATATTGGATGTCGGCAAAGGTGATCCTAGCGTTTTCCTGTTTAGCTAGGGCTATAATACCATTGATCACTCGGTAAGAATTGATGGTCAGTTGCATAGGGTTTAACTTATAGTAATGGAGAACCTCACGAAACAGAATGTTTAATGGAAGACGAAGTCCACACTCGATAAAGGCGACTACGAGGAAAGGCATGGAGTCAGCAGTGGGCATGATGGAGTCATCATCCCCAGCCAACCTCAAATGAACGTCGGCTGGGATCTCAAACTCCTGTCTAAATTATTCCAGTTTGGAAGGGATGTTTACCCTATGTTCCCACATACCCATGATATCGGCTTAACCTTAGAAGGTGTGTCTCAGAAGATGTTTTTGAAAGGCTATTAGGACCTCGGAAAACAAAAAGGTAGGTGCAGGTTTCAGTTTTTTCCTAAGTTATGGGTTCTACAGACAAATCCCAGACCTAAATCTATGGAAACACGGATTGAAAGCAAGAATCTGGAAAAGATGCAAAAAACAGAAAACAAAAATGAAGTTTCAGAAACAAGAATTAAGATGGGCTATCAAGAACATGAAGAATACAAGAGTGTATGGCCAAGAACAGTGGCAAAAGTGCAAAGAAGTGGCGAAACAGTGCGTGTGTTCAAAATGTGGGCAAAGGCAAAATCATGGATGAATGCATTCAGATGTACGATTTATGAATTAAAAAAGCTTAAAACAGTACAGTAATGGTGACAGCAAAAAGAGAAGAAACATCAAGGAATTGAAAACGAAAAGAACAGTAGCTTACCAGAAAAAGGGAAGCCGGAAAGGGATTTGCCGATATCCTACGACGGTTGCAGGAGCAGAAGACAGGTGGAAATCTCACTGGAAGGGGTGAACGGAGAAGGTTGCAGAGCTTTGAAAGCTTGAGCAATGGAGGGTTTTGAAAACTAGAGAGAGATAACAGGAGATTCGAATGAAAAAGTGAAGAGACGAAAAAAAGGGGAAAAGTTTTTGATTAAGCAGAAACAGCGGCAAAAGCAATCAATACGCCTAGAAGAACGAGGGCGTCAGACGGCGCACATAAAGAAAGAGGCGGCTAACAGACGCGTCATGTATACGGACCAGTAAGGGAAACGCATGGCTAAAACGGTTGGGTTGAAGTGCATGACAGCTCATGCGCGTAAGAAGGTCCTTAAAAATCTTGATTTTTTAGGGAAAGCATGTCGGCTTGAAATGAATGATCTCGGTTATTAAATTTTAAGCCGATTTACTGGAAGAAAATACAGATATAGGAATCCAAAGTATCGGAGGATGCCGAGGTAATAGAACCTAGGGGCAGTTGTGGGGATGTATTTTCTGAATACCAACACGTGGCAAGGTGACGCCGACGTGTCAACCGAGGTGCCACGTGTTTTGGTTGTGACACCGAGGTTATCTCGGAAAGCCGAGGTTATCTCCGAAGATATCGGAATCCGAGATAAATGGATAAGGGGCAAGAGTCCTAGAGTAAAAAGGGAACTTTGCTAAGATAAGGATAAAGCTCTTAGGAAGTTTATTATCTCTTATGAAATCCAAAGTAAGCACTGAATGGGAATCCATAGAAGTCAGGCTTCTAGTGGGATTAGGATTGAGTTGGCTATAAAAGAGAGGCACCCCCGTGGGTCTAAGGTACGCAATTTTATGCTTTGAGTAGTGAGTTTAGCACTTGATTATCTTTGAGAGATATACTGACTTGATCGTCGGAGTGCCCTAGGTGGAAGAGCCACCGCCGGAACCTTTTCTTTCTGTTGCAGGTTAGCTGCAACCATCTATTCTGCCGGTGCTCTCCAACTGATTACTAGACGGGCAGTGTGGTCAGAAAATTACCCACACAGAAAGATGATATTTGTCATCCCAAACCTAATTTGGCCTAACATTTGGCCTAATCTAGCTATTCCAAACTCGATCTTAAGAAAACTTCAAATCCCAAGTCCGTCCACTTAACCCAATAAAATGGGTTATTAATTTATTTATTTTTTGGATCTTAAATCAGTATTAAATTATTTAGATCTTTTTATTCATTACTTGAATTTAGAACGTTAATATTCAATAATAAAATAAAATATAATTTTTAATAAATATTTTAATTTAAGTCTTACAAATAAGTGTATATTTTTTTGTCTTTATTTTTTTCTACCTTATTTCATGAATAAAATAACATAAAATTGTAATTAATATTTTATAAATGAATGGGTCGAGCCGAACTGAGTTAGAATTGTTTATGCATAATCTAACTTGAATATGGCCTCGTTTGGAATATGTTATTTTAATAATTTTTTTATTTTTTACAAAAAAAAATGTACGAAAAAGTAAAAAGAGTGATATAAAAATTTATAGCAACTTTTTAATTAAAATATTTAGTTTTCAAATGAAACCTAAATAGATATAAAATCTCACCTCAGCTCTACTCTGAAAAAAATCCGAACTCTAAAAATATTAAGGTCGGCTGGGCTGCCATCCGAAAGATAGCATACTATTACTTACAATGAGTTTGAAACACACATTAACAATGTGTGGACTATATTTATTTTAAATGTGATCACATCACCTTTGAATTTTTTTTTTTTTTTTTTTTTTTTAATTTACACCATAAATTGCAGTTTATGGACAGTATTATTATTATTATTAGTATTAGTATTAGTATTAGTATTAGTATTAGTATTAGTATTATTTTATATATATTTTTAACAATTAGTATTAGTATTAGTATTAGTATTAGTATTAGTACTATCCTAAAACACTTTAATGGCTATAAGTATTTTGCAAGAAATGATAAAACAATGGATTATTTACCAATAAACCCTACTTCACAAACTGTTATACCAAATAGTCCCACTTTTATTCTAATATACTCGTTAGTCCTGCTGGTGGGTTGAGTTGGTCCTTTTTGTTTTTTTTTTTCCATTCTTGGTGTCACTGTGTGGACGAGTTTGCCCTTCGCTTAATGTGCTAATGTCTTATGGGGTTAGTTCTTGTTTTGGAAATGTTGCTCATTCCAGTTTGGGCAATTTTGATGATACATTCAAATATATTTCAGCGATTGTGAGGTAGGGTTTTTTAATTTGAATGTGGTTTTTTTTTTTTTTTGACGGCTGTGTGACACACCTGCAGAGATCAAGAAAACTGCCGTGTGTACGCCATTCTCTACCTGGTATGCTTACTTTTCCTTGGGTCGTTTACCTTTCATATGGATTGTAGTTATTTACATTGTGTTCTGTGTTTTTTTCATGTTTCATGTTTGTGAGTGGTTTCTGTATGTTGGCCGATCATGGTTCTGCAGTGTGTCTGGTTTGTTGGGTGTTTGTGGGACTTCATTCTGTCTGGGGAACAGAGGGGCATGCGTTTCAGAGGCGTCGTTTTAAATGGTGTGTGGTGTGCTAGTGGTCTTTTTCTTTTCGTTGGTGTTACCCCAAGTTCTGAAGTGTCACGTTTTCTTGATGAGATGTGCTCTGTTTGGGTAACGTAGGGACATGTGACGTACTGTGGATGGGGAGTCATATTTTAAAGTGTGTGTGTTGCCCTGTTTCTTAGTTCGTTGGTGTTACCCTAAGTTCTGAAGTGTCACGTTTTCCTGATGGGATGTGCTCTGTTTGGGAAACGTCGGGACATGTGACGTACTGTGGGTGGGGAGTCAACTTTTAAAGTGTGTGTGTTGCTCTGTTTCTTAGTGTTCTTTAGTTTTATTTTTTGTTCCTATCCCCCTCATGAATCATATGTTCGCATTCGCAGGAAGATGGGCAATGGAATTATGCTAATATGTTGTTACAGTAATGTGAATGTTGCTATTAATTTGCAAGTCCCATTTCGATTTGACGACGTAGTCAGTGGTGTGTGTGACAAGTTTGAAGGGCTCACCCCTGCCGACGCATGTTTCTACTTCAAGATGCCCGGTTACAACAATTTCATATTGTAGAACAATGTTGATGTGGCGAACATGGTGTGTCTTGCACGGTCTTTTCAATTGCAATGCATTGATGTATTAATTGAAGTACGACGTGCAGAAGACGGTCACCATGCAAACACCCAATTATAAACAGCTCATTGTCAGCCGACCGATGTGTTTGACGAGTCAGACTTGGACGATGAAGATGATTTGTTGGCAAAATTCTGCCCTCATGTTGACAAGGTGTTTTTGTCTGCCTAATGGGCTAACGGGATTCAACGTATTGGCCAAATTTTTGAAGGTGGAGCGGATGAATTCCGAAGTGTTCTTCGCAAGTATGCTGTCGAATGTGGCTTCCGTTTTAAATATGTCAAAAACGATTCTGTGCGGATCACAACTGTATGCATGATGAGGGAATCGAAGGGATGCATGTGGTCGGTACACGCACGCGTTTTGCATGCCAACGGATTTTTCTACCTTCGCAAGTGGAATAAGGAGCACATCTATGGCGTAGCTGTTCGGACCCCAAAAAACCCCAGGGCTGGTTCAGATTTAGTGTCTGATGTTATTTCAAATTGGGTCTGTGACAAGCCACTCACGCGACCCATAGATGTTGTCTATGACCTCAAAAAAGATTATGGATTAGAGGTTAGCTACCGGGTTGCATGGTTAGGTGTTGAAAAAGCTCGGGGGGAGATGTTTGGTGCACACTCCATTTCGTTCGACCAATTGCGCTGGTACAGTTCCGTTGTCGTTGAAAACAACCCTGGAAGTTACGTCAATATTGATTGTGATGAACACAACAACCATTTCATAAGGTATTTCATATCATTCAAAGCATGTATCGATGGGTTCAATCATTGCCGGCCATTACTATTCCTAGATGGGACTTTTTTGAAGGGAAAATTCAAAGGACACTTGCTAGCCGCTACTGCGAAAGATGGCAATCAAGGTACTGTTACACACCCTTGACACAAATCATTAATTTTGTACAATAATAATTACAGTGTACATTGACTCACTCACATGTTAATTGGTCTCACCAACACACCACCAACATATTTGCAAACCTAACTCATAACAACCCTTTCTAGGTCTCTTCCCTATAGCCATCGCAATTGTCGATTCAGAAAACACCGCAAACTGGGCATGGTTCTTGGGACATCTCGCAAATGTTGTCAACAGTCACAGGACCTTTACATTCGTATCTGACCGACATGCAGGATTATTGGAATCAATACCCATCACATTTCCCACAGCCCTTCACGCATTTTGTCTACAACATTTGCAACGTAACTTGCAACATAAGTTACGATATGTCAACACTTCATACAGGGCTGGAATGTTGACAAAATTTCGGGCTTGTGCTTACGCACCCACTGTGGCTTCATTCACGCAATGCGCCGAGGAATTTACGAAATGCGGAAGAAAGGTTGTTCCCGCATTCTTAAAAGACTTACCCCTTCAATTTTGGGCTAATGCTTACTTCCGGTATGTATTTCAGTCTTTCTTTTTCCTTTTCGTTTATACTGCACCTCACATGTTTATACTTATCACATTTTCATGCCATTTGCGTATGTCCCCACTAAAATTGTACTTTTCCAATACCAGCGGTTCACGATACGGTGAGATGAGTTCCAATGCCGTTGAATCATTTAACTCGTGGATACGGGAAACACGCCACCTACCAATTACTCAACTGGTTGACAGCATTCGAGTTAAGATTATGCATCAAATGGCGAAACGCAAAATAAAAGCACAAGCGTGGCCCGGTGTTATTTGCCCAAAAATGGAAGCTCGATTGGTCAAAGCATACAATAAAGGCAGAGCATGGCTTGTCAGCCAATCCACCGATACAGTGTTCGAGGTCCACTCTTTCCCATCCGTCATGGTTAACGTTGACAAACGTACATGTTCCTGTTTCAAGTGGCAAATCAATGGATTTCCATGCTCTCACGCAGTTGTTGCTATCCGAAATAGCGAACTCGACCTGTACGATTTAGTGGCTGAATTTTACTACGGGAATGCTTACCGGAACTCATACCAACATAACATACAACCCATTCCAACTGTTGAGAAACCAGCATTCAATCCTGATGATTTTGTCATACACCCACCGTCAGTCAAACGACCACCAAGCCGACCCAAACAAAAAAAGAATTCTTTCCCAAGGTGAAGAAATGCAACAAATTCGATGCAGCCGGTGTCAACGCATGGGTCACCACAAATGCACAACGTGCAAGGAACCAATTTAGCTTCACACACATAGTGACAGATATCCAAATTTCATACTTTAGTTTCACTGTAATTGTTTTCTACCTAAATAATTGGGTATGCCACACCCATAACGTAGTCTTGTATGACAGACAACTTTACTGCAAACATTTCACAGCTTCCAATTTATAAGTACCGGGTGAACAATTGATACCCCGTTACCATGAATAACTTTTCAACTTATTACATTTTGTTTGTTTCAAAAGTGTTGTTATATTTTATCAAACTTATTGTGTGGATGCTGTTAACATGTTCAAATAGTTAACATGTTAACATGTCATACGTAAACATTACAGCGTCACGACTTCAATAAGGATCGCGCATGTTGTCAACATTACACAGCTTTCATCACAATACTCGCACCCACAACATACGAACCAACTTTCACCTTACATCCAACCCCCACACCAAAAAACACATTACACATTAACATCGCCATACATTCACCTGCGCGATATGTTCTAATCAACAGCATACATAACATGCACCACCACACATAAACAAACAGAAAACGTACCATTCGAAAACAAAACATTTTCACGTGTCAAATAAAACCATACCTTTCCAACAAAAACAAATTATAGCATCACCATTTTAATTACATTTCAAAAACCCACACTCCAACAGTTACCATACTGATGTCTGCCAAAAAAACCAATGACCCACCAAACAGTGTATCATACTAATCATCATGCTTCTGTTCCAACGATGTCAAAAATAAATTAAAAAAATACCTACATCCTAATAACCATGCTTCTAGTCTTTCAAACCACGTGCTGGATCGTTCACAAACGCCTTAACCATATTTGCACGTAGTATGATGTAATTAGTTCCTTGCAACGAATGTTCGACGTCACACCGAAGCACATACTATCATATAATAGCACACACAATGACCCCACAATCGAGCCTGCAAAAACAAAAAAAATTACATGTCAGCAGCCAAACCCGCGGTACCCACAACCTTACGCATTACAGACACCCCAAACGAAACGCAAACACAATTAACTTACGTCCCAAGTTTTTGCTGTGGACACTTGATCACAGCTTCCAGTGAGCTGTTGAAATTTGCCAGTATGCTTTGCTCATCTAACCCAAATTCATGCAGAGTCTACTTCATCACATTAGTCACACGTTCTTTCTGCAATAATTAACACACCCCAATTAAACATTCTTGAAAAACATAACACACGAAAGGATCACATAATCACAAAACAAATGCAAAACATAAATGTCACAAAGCATACCAGCAGTGTCGCCACATTGTGATGTACATCAGTTCTGTCTCCACGCTGCCTCATCGGATTGTAATGTTTCCAAGTCCCATCTTCCGTATCATACACCACAAGCGTCCAATACCCATCGTGACACATTGGGAAGTGGATGAACTGACAATCACTCACAGCAGACACATTTGTATGAACAAACTTCTCCATAGCACGTACATCATCGTTTTTCACCATATCCTGCAAAACATAGAAACCATCAACATACCACACAGTCACACAACACAAACACGGTGCACTTCATAATATCACAACTCACCAAACACCCACTATTAAAAAAATAAGACTTATCCGCCAACTCGTCATCGCCATACATCCTCAGATGCTCACTTTTAAACAACTCAACATAAGCATCAATCACCTGTCCACAAACAAAAAAAAAATAAACATTTTCTATCCGCATAACACCTATGCTTCGTATGCTACCCCATATGAGTTCATTACCCACATATGAATGGAAAACATTTATTCTTCAAAAAAAATACAGTCTCACATTTCCACAAATGCTACTCTGTCGTATGAGGTTCTTCACATCACTAAAGTCCACCACCACACCAACTTCACCATCCTCCCACATGATCGCCCTAAACACACCAACAATTATCAGTTCCCAGAAAGAATTACATGACAACAAGTTCTAACAAATCTAAAAAAAAACATACGTACCGATCACCATGCCTATCATAACCTTGCTTGATTCTACACTTTTCTTCCACTGTCATCATTTTCCACACCCCCAACCTGTTGTTTATATCAAACCCGGACCACTTATTGCCCTTTACGACCACAGCATCCACATCAACAACTCCGTCACTCTTAACACAATCATCATCTCACACCACACGATAACTGTCTGCAACTGACTTCTTACTACGCCCATGTAAGATGGGGTACTCGAAATCCGGCAATTTTCGTTCCTGTCTAACTTTGTTTTTAATGTTACGAACAAAAGATGTTTTCCCCCCAGAAACAATTACCCCCTTATCCGCATCAGACAGATCCACATTCACAATGCCATCAACATTTCTCCCACATTGCTCACCATCAGAATCAACAACTACGCATCCAACATTCGGACCCACAGCCTCGCTACACATATTCGCACCCCCCATACCAGCTCTAATCGGCGACACATCGTACACAACTTGACCTCCAACCCTAACCCCTGCAACACTACCACCAACGCCGTCACCCCGCACCTCCACATCCCTGAAAGCTTGCGTCATCACATGCACATCACGATCAGTGAGTTGATCCTCAAGCACCAATACACTCCTCCGCTATTCGATTTTTTCTTTCTTCAACTTGCCCACCTCTTCATTCTTAATTCCCAACACACACTCAAACCCCCCTATAATGTTCACAGCTTGCGCCTCCAGTTTCTTTTTCAGACCAACAACTTCTTCCTCAAGCAATGCAATCATTTCATCTTTTCTTTTATTCTCTAATTCCAGTATTGCAATTGCACTGCCATATTCATTCACTTTGCTGTCATTCACCCCCTCATTGTCCTTCCCAGATGTGGAACCATGCAACGCGTCTGTTCCCTTGCCCCCCACTGTCATTTCTGGTTTGTGCCCTTCCCACGAACTGCATTCCTCACGTACATCACCAAATCCAAACTCCACATTGTCTGTATGAATCGCAGCCTCAGTGTGTCTGCCATCACCTTTAAGTTCATCCACAAAAGCATCATCACCTCCAACACAATCAACCACATATAACTAAACATTTTCAAACACAACAACATCCGCACCCATCATTTCACATTCATATTCAAACGACCTAAGTCGGTCTACTTTAACCTGCGCAAACACAAATATATTACCATAACGAATGAAAAAGAACTCAACACAAGTTCATACAGTCAAATATAAGCCTTAAAACAACAACCACACCCAACACACATACCTGAAAATTAACTGGGCCGGACAGGTCAAGCCCCTGAGCTTTACTCAGCAATTTCCCAATGTCCCATTTCATAAATCTGGGGAACATGTTGTCCGTTTGCGGCTCAATTATTGTCGAATGTTCTAATATCCAATACTACACATAACAAGAAAATAAAATATTAGTAAACTAATATATCTGCCACAAATATGTGTTACTACGACTAATTAAATTGAACATTCACATACCAACAACGTAACCACGCAGCCTGTCACCTTCCATGGCATTCGATGAAACTCCTTCACTGGCCCCATCAGTGCTGCCATTGTTGCGCCAGTCCAGTCGTACATCTTCACAGTGTCCAAGTCGTTCATATACCGAACAAATGCCCAACTAATTGTCTCACCTGAGTTTGCGAAAAACAGCTTCCCACAAATGTACAATGCCAAAAGCTTTGCCACATCTTCCTCATCTTCCTTGGTCCAACCATTAACAGTTTCAACAAACAAACTTTTCACCAGTTTTGATGTCAACCGAGACGTGTCACGACACCTACGCTGAATAAAGTTCGTCACTGGTCGTTGACCCGGAGATAAATACAAACGTCTCTTCCCGCATTGCAGTCCAAAAATCAGTCTCACATCGCTACTAGCAAATTTGACACTGGCCCCTCCAATATGGAACGCATTATCATGCGGATCATACGTTTTTATAATCTTTGAAATCAAATCATCACACTTCCTGAATTCATTGTGGTTCAACTTGTTGACGTGGATCGCCTCGATCATAATCCAAAATGGCGTTCTCTTTAATTGATTCATATGTGCCTCCCTCAGTTTTACCGAACTAACAAGTTTGATTATACCAGCAACGTTTGACCGGTAGTTAATCCTCGTGTGTGCCAGCCGCTGTGGGTACTCATTACCCTTACTCACATTATGTGCCACACTATTATTCACAACTTTCGTCTGCTTGGAAAGGATGTGTCCCTCCATTTTCACACCAACTTTCTGTGCCTTCGACTCAGATGCTTCCGCAGCCCTTCGCTTCTCACACGATCTAGTCCACGGACTACGTACCATGCTGCTATCTGCAACACCACACATAAACCATTTCAACAAAGCTTACAACAACTGCACAAACAAGCTACCCCATACAGACACACCCCCCTCACATTGTCATGCCATGCACCATTTCGTAACCTTGCACGGAACAAAAAAATAACCACCACCAACACCACATATACACTCACAAAAAATAATGCATGGGAACACACCCAACCACACCAGCAAAGCAAATAACATTACATACGACAATACCACAACAAAGAGCACCCACATAGACCATGAAAGCATTGACCCTCACATACACCGAAATCACAAAAACACACAAAAAAAAACCCACAGAAAAACACAAATACCAAACCCCACACAAGTCACACATTTACGACAAAAACACAGAACCTCCCCCACACACAAAACCCCACCCCAACTGTTTGTTCACCATCAAATGTGGCCCCAACCATCACGCCCACATCCCAAAGTTATTTCCACCTAAATCCCCACCTAAACCCAGGAAACACCCCTTAGGAAGTCCATCCACACAACAACCCAAACACAACCACAACAAAAACCAAAAAAAGAACATACTGCACCCTCAAATAGTCGAACCATGGCCCACTACGGCCAACACAGTACCACAACACACAGACAAACACACAACGCAACTTGGCCCCACCCCTTGTCTTCACAGTTACGTGTGGTCCCCATAACATTGTCCCCCTTACACAATTTCTTCAACCTCCACTACAACAAAAAGCAGTTTTGGCGATCAAAAATGTAAATTTCATCGCTAAAAGTAGGACAATTGGCGACTAAAATTGAATTAGTAGCCAAATGTGAACACTTTTTGGCGACTAAAACAGTTTAGTAGCCAAATGTGTACTTATTGGCGACTAAAAATCAGATTAGTCGCTGATTACATGGGTTTTAGCGACTAAAACAATTTTAGTAGCCAAAGGTGAAGGTTTTTGGCGACTAAAAAAGATTAGTAGCCAAAAGTATAGGCTTTGGCGACTAAAAAATGGTTTGGTTGCCGATTGTAGGTGTTTTACCGACAAAAAAAAATGTTGTAGCCAAATGTAAAGGTTCTTGGCTACTAAAAGATTTTTAGTAGCTAAAAGTGGACAATTGGCGACTAAAATTGAGTTTATTCGGCAAAAGTGGTTATTTTTAGACAGAAATTAATTTTTTTAGCGACTAAATTATTGGTAGTAGCCAAAACTAAGGTTTTTGGCAACTAAAAAAAACTTTAGTCACCAAAAGTGGCTCCCTTTTTTTTTAATAATTAATTTATTTTTTACATAAATTAATATTGAATAAAAATAATTATATTTATATATATAGTTTTAAATTAATACGGGTCAATATACTATATAAATAATAAATATTGCATATATATTCATGTGATCTTGTGGTGGCATAGTGGAGGGAGTGTGTTGGTAAAGGTCTACAAAGTAGAAGGTCCGTGGTTTGAATCTCAGAAAAAGCAAAAAAGTTGGTAATTTTTTTTTTTTCACAGAAGCACCTTTGGCGACTAAAATTATTAGCCGCCAAAAGTCTTTATTTTGGCGACTAAATGGATTAGTTGGCGATTCAGTGAGTATTGGCGACTAAAGGATTGGTCGCTAAATGTATGATTTTGAAAAGTGTAAATCACTATTGGCGACTAAAATGTTGGTCGCGAAAGAGCTGCTTTTTGGCGACTAAAAAAGTTTAGTCGTCAATACCTCTGCCGACCATCTATACGCGACAAAACCAGCGACTAAAAAAATTAGTCAGGGAAAGTAAAAAGTCAACTTTTGGTTGGCGACTAAAAATTTAGTCTCCAAAGGTACTTTTTCTTGTAGTGCTCCTTCCCCCACAAGCACAACCAACCACCCAACCAAACCCAATAACAAACACACACACAAAAATCCCAAACAACTTAGCCAAACACAATAACCCTTACTAAACAAAACGCACGAAATCCACAGGGAAAATACAAAAAACCAATGTACCACACTAAGAAACACAGATTCGAAAAACAAGGTTACGAAACATACCCATCCCGTCCATGAAAGAACTATGTCAGAGCACCGATGAAGGATTATGCGAACTACGGTTCCTTTATCTTCCACTTTTTGCAACGTCACACCGTTCGATCGACAAACAAAACAAAACACCAGCAATAATGATCCAATCAGCCTTCCAAACATCCTTTCTACAATGGAATATGGCAACGGGGTATTTGATCAAATGAAATAGCGAAATTGCTGGCAATCACACATGTAGGGTTTCATACAGTACAGAGTGGAAGACCAAAACGACTGTGTAAATGTGGCTGCACATAATGGGTTAGCATTCAACGGGTTATGGGTATGTGTGTGTCCAATCAGTCACAATTTGAAGCCCTTTCAATTTTTGTTGTGGGCCTTGTGTTAACGCCCAAACACACCAACCCAGCCCACAAACGAAAACCCTTACAGCGCTTTGTAATTCTGTGATACCGTCTCAATGTATCACTTGATAGACGCCATACATCCACTCACTAATTACCCACGTGCAGCCCACACGAGCCATACCCAAGTTCCGCCTAACAAGCCGGATCTGACTACTAACGTTCAAATGAGGGTAATTACGTCCCTCACAAATTGGCAGGACTAAACGGTTTAGTATATTACAAATGGGACCAACTGGTTCATAAGTTCACATTTTGGGATTTATGGGTAAATTTTCCTAAAACAATTGGAGAATTTCAGATTAGGTATAACGTGAAAAATAATTATAAATTAATAAATTTTATTAATATCAATAATTAGAATTATAAATTTTTTCACCATATGTAACAATTTTTTTTAAATTTCAGATCAGATATAATGTGAAAAATAATTACAAATTAGTAATAAATTTTATTAATATTAATAAATAAAATTATAAACTTCTTCACCATATGTAATAATTTTTCCATTAAGGGGTAATTTCCCCAAAAAGATTTGAAAGAAGAATACCCTTCGCCAAGCAAGGGTACAAAAAGCTTCGAATAAGAATGTAGGAGGAATTTATAGAATTTTCTTGACAACACAGCAAGGTCATTGAAGAAGATTTATAGCATCATTATTCCACATGAAGCTGGTAAAAATAAATCCACACAAACAAAACACACACAATAGTGTGAAAAAGATACGACCGTCAAATAAAAAATATGCACTAACAAATGATGATGATTGCCTCAAGGACGTACAAAAGTTTAATGGACTTGGAGACCACTAGCAAACAGAGAAGCAAAATCTTCAGTCTCGTGTTTCTTCAAAACTATCCCAATCTCAAGCCCACCATTACCATCTCTGCAATCTGAAAGAGAGAATGCTCCACTTTTATCAATTGATGTCATCTCCACCTTTCTCGGTCTCCCCCACCCAAAATCAGTGTTGTACAACTCAAAGCGAGGTGAGCCTCCGATGGTAAATAATCTATTCCTGTCTATAGAAAGCATTTTAGACAATTGAACCTCTTGTACAGCTCCATCTTTCAAACCTTCTATAGCTTCACATATTGCTTTAACTGCCGTGGCCACTCCATCTTCTCCTATTAAGTCATTTGAATCTGCATCCACGAGACGGCCTGTAACGCAGTTCCCAAAATAAGTTGAAGGGATAGGGGGTTCCAAGCGAGCCCTGCAATCCACACTGAATCCGAGATGAACTTTCCCTGTGCTTATTTTTTTGGCTTTAACTAGGGAAACCCATACATAGGCACTTGCTATTGTAAAGCTTGATACATGAATTGCTGGTTCTTGTTTTTGCTTTTCTTGCCATTGCGTTTTGACCCTCTTCTTGATATACTCTATGTTTGCTCGTGTCAGTTGGAATGTACCAAGCATTATATCAGTTGGAGGTTTCAAGTCCCATATCAAGAGACTTTTGTTGTTGAGTCCATTGAGGTTCAACAAGAAGTTCACGTAAGTTCTCTCATGATCACCTGGGTCTTTAATCAAAGACCTGTCATAGAATGGAGTTTCTTCCGGTGTTAAAATTGAGTCTTCGCCGTGCCTACAAATGGAAGCCCATGAATGCAAAAACAGAGCTACAGCTTTCCCGTCAAGTGCTGCATGGTGTGTGGCGTAACTGATTGAAAACCCTTTGTTTGGAAACAAAGTAATTTGCAATGTCATCAACGGTGCTCGCGTGTCAGAAGATAGGAATTGGGGTAAAAAATGATGGATTTCTTTAACTTCACGAAAGCTGTAGCTTGAAAGATGGTAGAAATCAGCTTCAGATTCGGCTATGGTAAGAGAAACTGCATCATCACCTTCAACATATTGGATGATTGGTTTATAGGAATCTGGTGGCCATGTCAGATTTCCGGCAAGGACAAGGTAGTGTTGGAGTGTGAGGGACAAGGAATGCTTCAATTTGGGAAGAACAGTGTCCAGAAAAGTAGTAGTTGAATGGGAGGTTTCGAAGAAGAATATGCGCTGAACGGGAGGGAATCTCACCCAAAAAAGGTCGAAGAATACAAGAGGAAGAGAGGTTGGGACGGCGGAGTCAGGCGAGCTAGGCGGTGGAGCCACCCTGCATACCTCAAGCACCTTCACTGGATTTGGTGTTGCTTCCATGAGAGGTAAAACAGAGAGCAAGGAAAGATAGGGAATCAGCAGTGTTTGTCGAAACTTTCAATAGCAGATTGATTATATGTAGGCTTCGTGTCGGAAGATGGGTTGGGTGAGGTTTTGAGTTATTTTAGTTATAAAAAAATTGAAATAATTTTTTTAATATAATAAAATAAAATATTACATCTAATTAATAATTATTTTAAATTCTTTTTTTTATAAAAAATTAAAAATCATTCTTAAACGGGACTCTTTAACCTTAAATTAAAGTAGTTAAAAAATTAAAAATTCAATCTACTTTTCAAAGCAACCGATAGTGTTGTTATTTTATTCAGAAATATTAGGTATCATGAAAAATTTTTCATAAAAATAATCATGAAAGTTTTGTGATTAAACACCACACACTAATCAAGATTATTCAAGGATCATAAATCATTCATGATCATTTTTATAAAAAAAATTTCGTGATCCCTTAAATTTTCTCTATTTTATTGTACTGTTGTTTGTTTGTGACTTCATCAATTACGATTCTCTCTATGTTCTTTATCAACTTATATTCATGATTCATTGTTTCTATGTACCTTGGTTTACAATGAATTATATCTTGGCCAGCCGGATTGTATATAAAATTATTTGTTAGGCGTGCAAAGACGTGACTCTGAGATATTCAAATCAGAAATTCTATGGGCGGATTTGGATAGTATGTATGGGTAGAATTTTAGAATTATAATTTGATAATAAAGTTGTATTTTGAGTATGAGTTTTAAAATTATGATTTGAGCGTGAAAAATTTATTAGATTATGAGTTTTGAAAAGAGTTTTGAATTAAGTTTGAAATTTTTGATGTAATATATGATATTTGATTCAAAAACTTACCACTCATAATCAAACACACAATCTAAAATTCTATTCAAAACTCATAAAAAAATTTTAAAAATTCTGAAAATATTTTTTATTTAAAATATAAAAAATAACATGTGTCAATTTTGCTACACAAAAAAAAAAAAAAAAAAGGAGCACTGTTCCAGTCAATCTGTTGGTCGACTGGCGGGACGTCTGGAAGGACGACCGGATAGGCCAAATTTCAAAATTAAAAACCCTACCTTAAACGAGTTTGCAAAAGTGGGTGTAGATTAATTTTTTAAAGTTGTATCCAAACACCACACTCAAATATGAATGTAGAACTATGATTAGAACTGCATACCAAACATAGTCGTGGTTTCTCCCTCAAAATATATTTTTAGAGAAAAAATTTCAAAAATATTTTTGGTTGAAATTTTCTTTAAAAAAATTAATTATTTTTTTCTCTATTATACATTAATCAATCTCTTTTTGTCTCTCCGTTCTTTTTTTCAATCAGTTTTTCTTTTACAGACATCTATTCAACTGTAAAATATATATATATATATATATCAAATTATTCCAAACTCCAAAACTCTTTTCGAAATATATAATCAAATAATTTTTCAAATTTTCTAAACGTTTTTCAAAAAATTATGTGTAAAATAATATCTGAAAACATAAATCAAATAAGGCCTATGAATCCACAAACTTAGATAAGAAATTGAACCAAAAAATTAGTGTTTAACTGAGATCTATTATACATGAAATTAATCTCAATACTCCAACATATGTTTTGGATATTTTTTCTATGTTAGTTTTATGTGCACCCTACTACTACTCTATTTACATAAATTTAGACGGAAGTATCTAACATTGTTTGCTTGATACCCTCAATTAGTACTAGTTGAAGAATGTTGATCCTACTTAAATTAAGTTGTTGAGAGCTAAGAAATGATCTGCTTATCTTAGTTGTCCAATCGACATCTGAATAGAAAATTACGATTAAATATTAGACTTTAAGTCCTAAAATTTTTTAATTCCAATCTAATGGTTTGTCCGGTCAATTAAACAAGCCCACTAAAGCGTGGTCTCACATGCGACTCTGATGATAAAGATGCATTTATAATTTTGTGGCAATGTCACTTCATAATTTAGTTTAATTAGAGATCTAGTCATTCTAAAGCGACATTACTTATAAAATAATTAAAATTTTATATATTAATATTATAGACTCTATCAAAAATATTTGTTTTTCATTATTTTTAATTTACTAAATATAGGTTTCGTGATATTTGCAAAAATATTTTTAATTTTTTTTATAGTCTAAATTTTTGTTCAATTGATCCTATCATCCATACTTTCCGTATCACAACATGGTGTGTTTTTTTTCCTCCTAATTTTGTGAACTTATTCGAATGTGTCATTTATTTAAAATTCTTTTTATGCTAATTTCAATGCTTGAAAACTCCAAACTTTTATTTTTTATTATTTTTACTAATTTGCCAAATTTTCATGAATTTCAACCCCTTGTTACGAAATTAGATGAATTTTCAACCGAACAAAATTAAAATGAAAAAGTATTGGTCATGTTTAGTTTCATTTCTAAATTTATTTTGAAAAATAAAAACTAGTTTGATAAAAATAAATATTAAAAATATATATTTAATTTTTTAAAATTATTTGTCTTTTAAAAAGATAAAATTATATAAAAATAATAAGTATTTTTTTTTATTTTTTATGAAATTAATTTTTAATTTTTTAGAAAAAAATTATGAAACAAGTTTTTAAAAACCATACCAAACATGGCCATTATCTTTTTATTTCTGTCCTTTTAAATAAAAATGAAAAAAATCATAATATTCTCTTATTTTCTTTTGTCTCATAACTTAAATAATTATTTGTTTTCTTTTCTCTCCCAATACTATTGTCAGTTATTTTAAATTGTATAGTTAATTTTTAAGGTCACCAGTTAAAGTATCTTTATGTTGTTACTGATTATAGAAATTTAATTATACTTTTTTCTTTTGCAAGGAACCTTTTTTTTTTTTTTTTTTAGAGTATTTTATGAAAATCGAGTTGATAGGAATTTATACTAATATTATTTAATCTCAGTTCGAAAAATATATAATTTATTATATATTATTATGCGTGATTTTGTAAAATAATATAATTATTTAAAATTTAAGGGTTAAAATATAAATAATACTTAAGTTAAGATAAGGTTGTATTAATGGAGACTAATAGGAAGTGACGGGTAGCGGTTTGGCTTGGGCCTCAGGAATTCAACCTTTATAAATAAGGAGATGTTGACTATGTGAGAAGAAGAAAAACAAAAAGAAAAGAAGACCAGGAAAGAAAGAAAAGAGAAGGAGAGAAAATAGAGAAATAATAGAAGAAAAATAATAGCAGCAAAGGATCTTTAATAATGGAAAGAAAGAGTAAGGTATTAAAGTTAAGGTGAGTTATATTATAGTTTGAGTTATCAAAATATATTTTACTTATGTTTTAACTTACCAAAATCTATTTTATATAAGTTATATTTATTAGTATATTTATAAAAGTTATGTTTTATAAAAGTTTCAGTTACGTGGATGATTTTATGAACCCTATTTGTTTAAAAGAAAACCCATGGATATGTTTATTTTACTTTTAAAGAATATTTGGTTGACCTTATATGAAAATATGTTTTGTGAGTAACACCACGGGAGTCCCATGCCTTGGGGGACTTAAATAACCATTGGCTAGTGAGTCACATGCCTTGGGAGATTTAAATAACCATTGGCTTAGTGATTGATCATTTTATGGTCCAGTGTTTATCGTGGATCCATTGACCAGTGTAGTGCTTGGCACTTAGTGATGTACCGCGGTTATAGTTGTATAGTGATTTCCGTATTACATATTATATGTTAAATGATGTCCATATTATATAAGATGCATTTTAATATCAAACTCTTTTTGGCCCAACTAATTATCCATGGTGAATTTTATGCCTTATACTCTTGGTATAATATTTCTCACTCTGCCATGAGCTTATAGTTTTTTTACCACTTTCAGGTGACATGTCGGGACCAGCGTGTGGGGTAGGCACAAAGCACTTTTATTGATGTATTTTTTTTTATGTAAATATCTGCCTTTTTGGCCAATACATTTTGTAATAAAAATAGAAACTCCAATGATTATTTTAGTACCCTTATTTAAATATTTCTTCCGCTTGCGTTTATTAAATTGCTTGAAGATTTGACAAGAGGTAACCTCGGTTACTGGCCATCACGATACTTAACCCTTGAGTACAGGGAGCGGGTCGTGACAAATGGTATCAGAGCAATAGTTTTAAAAAAAAAAAACATTATTGGAGCATAGGACACATACACATTTAAGAAGTGTGATAGCGAGTAATTAGTACCTAAATATTATATTTAGTTCGTCGATTTAATTATATTATAATTTTCTATGATTTTCTATATATATATTAAATTTTTTTTTTTGTGTGCCGAATTTGTGAAGGATATTAGATATAATTTACGAATGAAAAAGAAACAAAAGATGTCAAACACCCACACAAAAAAAAAAAATTATAATATAATTAAATATACAAAAATTTAAAAAAAAAAATCTCCATTTAAAAAGTGGGTTTCAATTTTACAAATACTAACTTTGAAATTATTTCTAATCAATGAAAAGTTCATCTCAAATTTTTTTCAACTCTCACATATGATTCTGTCATTATGGTCTCATTTTATTTCCATATATTTATTTTTATCGTGAATAATACGAGTGAAATATTTTTTAAAGTCACCCATTATTTCTCATTTTGGTCTAAACTAATTTTTAACAAGTTGACAGTGAGTGGTTTTTGGTTCTGAGGTACTATTTTCTATCAGATTAATCATCTAATATATATTTATCAGAGTGCGCAGCGGATAGCTTACATATAACAAATTTTGAGGACGAAATTTTAAAAGGAGGGAAGATTATAACAATCCAAATTCTAATTATTCTATAAATTTTATATTAATATTATTTAATCTCAATTCGAAAAATATATAATTTATTATATATTATTATGCGTAATTTTATAAAATAATATAATTATTAAAAATTTAGAGACTAAAATATAAATAATACTTAAGTTAAGATAAGGTTGTATTAATGGATGTTTGGGATGACTTTTTGGCTAATTACGAAAAGATATGCAAAAATAGAGAGAAAAGAGAATCTTTGACTTTTTGGTATGAGTTGTTGGCTT